ATCAGGAAACAGTCCTCCATAACATGTGCTGCACACATCTGAATATTTGGGTTAAACTGTTCTGGAACAGTGTTGTAAATACAACTTAACCACTGATTTCTAGTCGTGTCCTCTTTTGGAAGACCAAACAAAGTAGTTTCGCTTTCACAACGAAACAGCGTCACACACGGTGGCCTAGAGTGAGCGGTGAGACGGCAGGCTTGAGAACGGCGCGGCCGGCGGACTCGACGAAGGAGGCTTGCGGCAACCACATGTGACGACCCCGGGCAAATCTTCCCAGATAGTGACGTAGGTATGTGGGGGTGTGTTAGAACGAGCCGTTTTAGGTAGGTGTGGTTGACTCTTAACTTTTATAAAGAATATCTCTTTGGATTTGAGACTTTAGTCTTTGCAACTTTACAGATCTTCTTTATGCACCAAGAGCTTGTAACACTCCAAAGAGAAAGGAACAATTGAAATCGCATCATATGACCCCTTTAAAAAGATAATTGTCACCTCAATATAGCAAGCAACTTCTTGTTAGTATATTAAATGTAATGAACCAGTTTTTAAAAGGGCAGCTTTACTGTAGCCTAACTACTGTAAATTATGAGTAGCTTGAAGGCAAGTCTTATCCCCAGCAATGGTGTGTGTGTGTGTGTGTGTGTGTGTGTTAGGGCAGAGGCGGCACTGCGTTTTGTTGTGTCTGTAATTAGTGCTAGAGTGCTGCTAAAGGCAAGCCGGGACAGACTGTGGTGAATGGCCGTTCTTTTGTGTGAAAAAGCTGCTCCTTCGCTCTCTGCTTCTTCTTCTTTTCTCTCTCTCTGCGCTCTGTCCATCCTCTCGGGATCTCATCATCTTCCCTAACAGTCAGAGTGGGATTTAGTATCCTCTATTCCCTCACCTTCTTCCTCTCCCTCTTCCCCTCTCTCTGTGTGTCTCTTTCTGATGATCTGGAGCCGCTTTACTTTTTAAGTTGTGTCTTTTTCTGACACTCATCTGTCCTGTGCTTTCGAGAGAAGCTCTGTATAGGAAGTTTGGATTTCATTTCTTGACTAGCAGAGTATATATTTCTTTTTGGTTCTACACATGTTAGAGTGGTCAGGAGTCAGTGTTAAGACCTTGTAGCTGAGCTCTCGGTGTGACGAAAATCATCGAAAACGATTATTTATTTGTTTGACATTTTTTGAGATCTGCAGATGCAGAATCTTTATACAACATTGCTGCTGTGTGTGTGTGTGTGTGTGTGTGTTAGGGCAGAGGCGGCACTGCGTTTTGTTGTGTCTGTAATTAGTGCTAGAGTGCTGCTAAAGGCAAGCCGGGACAGACTGTGGTGAATGGCCGTTCTTTTGTGTGAAAAAGCTGCTCCTTCGCTCTCTGCTTCTTCTTCTTTTCTCTCTCTCTGCGCTCTGTCCATCCTCTCGGGATCTCATCATCTTCCCTAACAGTCAGAGTGGGATTTAGTATCCTCTATTCCCTCACCTTCTTCCTCTCCCTCTTCCCCTCTCTCTGTGTGTCTCTTTCTGATGATCTGGAGCCGCTTTACTTTTTAAGTTGTGTCTTTTTCTGACACTCATCTGTCCTGTGCTTTCGAGAGAAGCTCTGTATAGGAAGTTTGGATTTCATTTCTTGACTAGCAGAGTATATATTTCTTTTTGGTTCTATTATTACAAATGTTAGAGTGGTCAGGAGTCAGTGTTAAGACCTTGTAGCTGAGCTCTCGATGTGACGAAAATCATCGAAAACGATTATTTATTTGTTTGACATTTTTTGAGATCTGCAGATGCAGAATCTTTATACAACATTGCTGCTCTTTATTTCGTGACATTTCAGGATTCTTAAATCTGAAATTGATGTTAGCTTAGCAGTAACTGTGTGCAAGTAAAGTGGTGACTTTCAAAAAATTCCACCACAGTCTCCACACTTGATTGCACAAGGGTTAATAACATAGAAGAGTGTTCATAAAAAGGAAAAATCCTTTAAAAATCTATTGTAGAACACACGTGGCAAGTAAAAAGTACAGTATAGTAACATATTAGGTATTAAATAAGTAAATGCATTTTATATCAAAATAAATGAAATTATGAATGTATTATTCTAATTGTATTGTTTCTAAGAAATAATAATAATATTCTGTGCTAAACTACTAAAGGGTTTCTTTTTTTTTTATATATATATTTGATGAATTGCATTTTTAAAATAAAATTAAATTAAAGCATCATGTAGCTGACCCACAGACAAAGGTAAATATTTCAAAATATACAGTACATAATAAATGTAAATATAAAGTAAATATAAAAAGTTACTATTCTTTTTAATTAAATATTTTTTAAAGAAAAACAATGTGTATTGTGAAATGCGCTATACGAATAAAATGATACAATTTGACATCACTCTGCAAACATATAAAAATATACATGGTGTGTTCGAGGATATCTCATTGCCATATTACTAGGTCTGAAATGCCACAAACCTTGCAAACCTATGAAAAATCAGTGATTTGTGATTAATCTAATGCACATGAGCAGCTAGTACCTTAAAGTTCTGTCATTTCTGTCATCATTCTCTCACCTTCATGTCATTTCAAACCTGTATGACTTTATTTCATCTACAGAACACAAAGGAAGATAATTTGAAGAATGTAAACAGTTTCGGTTCCCTTTGATTTCCAGTGCATGCACACAAAATACAATGGAAGTCAATAGGAATTGAGATGGTTTGGTTGCCAACATTCTTCAAAATATCTTCTTTTGTATCAAGTAAAAAGTATGTAGTAACATATTTATATAAGACATGCCTATAGGAATTGCATATGTATTACATAATATTTAATACATTTGATTATTAAAATAATATTAAAAGATTGTGCCGAACTACTAAAAGTTTTCTTTTCAAGAATTTTAATTTGATTAATTGCATTTCATACTCATACAGGTTTGGAACATCTTGACAGTTAGTAAATGATGACAGAATTTTCATTTTTGTGTGAACCATCCCTTTAAATACGTGACTTAAAAAAAGTGTAAAAGCCCACCAATCAGATTGAAACTTGTGATTTTCACCAGCTCTTGACATTTTCTGTGCAACATGCATCAGATGGTCAGCGAAGAGCTCATTCAAATATCATATCATGTCCTGTTGAATACCGTCTGTTTTTCTTTGTGTTCTATCGTTTCTTTTTCCTAACATCTAATATTTATTTCCTGACTCTGAGAAACAAACGCTCTCACTCGCTCTGTTTGGGTTGCAGAGTCTGGGGTTTGAAAGGACCCAAAGCATCCTGGGTAATTAGCCATTACGTCGCTGTCACAGAGGGTTGTGCAGTCAATACAGAGATAATTTGGGCAATGGTGAATGACAGCGCTGTCCGGGCTACAGGGCTGATCAAGGACCAGACACACACAGAGACACACACACACACACACACACACACACACTGGCCGGGCCGGGCCAAAGAAAATGCAAATCTACATCCTCAGTTGAGTTTTCTTTTGTGCTTCCGGGCCTCTCCTCATTCCAGCTTCTCGATCATCTCCCCTCCTCCTCTGGCTTTCTTCTCCTCAATCTCTCCTCCCTTCACGAGAGGAAATGGCTGCTTACGCTACGTCTCTAAACTGTTAGAGGCTTGTTACTGCTGGTGGCAAATGAATGACATTGGGACAGAGGCCTCTCAGGCCCAAGGAGAGCCCTTAAGTAATGGCAACAGAAGCAGAGAGAGGGAATGAGAGAGGGAGAGATCACAGCATAATGAAAAAGCCATTTATTTCAGTAATAAAGACAAATGTACCACATTGATTTCAGTTTTCTAATATGAAATAGAGATGTCGGAGCTTGTTTATTGTGTTTGTGTGGTTGGAAGGAAAGTGTCGGGTAAGCAAAGGTTATTTTACTGTCCTGACATCAGTGACAAACACCATACCTTGTATTTTAAGATTTTAATTGGTGTATTGGGGCTTTTATGCTGGTCTTGTTTATTATGTTAGACAAAAGATTTAATTTGCAGTAGTGGATATAATATAATATAATTCAATATAAGCCATTGTTTGACCAACATTTCAGTATTGTATTGTACTGCAATTTCAGTTTTATGTGTCTCTGGAAAATAGTGATCTATGACATTCTATCATGTTAAATATCAAATTTTTTTTTTTTTTTTTTTTTGTGGAATATAATATAATATTTGTGGAAGTTATTGGAGGACCAGTGTGGCATATTTTTCCTAGTGTTATTATTTTTCATTCTTAGATGTAAAAAAAAAAAATAGATTAATTATTAATTATTTTAATATTTAATGTAAATAATGGGGTT